TTTTCTTACTGCATTAATACTTCTTGCTTCCTGGAATGTCTGTTTCTTTCTGCAATCCCAGTAAGTGGTGTTATAAAAGGCACAGCTGTACAACCATTAAAACTTAGATGAGGAGTTAATTGTTAGGTAGCAGATGTTAAATGCCTGCAATTTGAAATTCATCATGCAGGTGAAAACCTTGGATAGGAAATCAGGAAAATATGTTGTTCACCGGCAGGAATAGGGTGACTCGAAGGTGACTATATCTCCAGATTAGAGATCTGGGGCTATTCATATACGAATACCCCCCCACAGGTGGAAATAATGAGGTCTGGCCCCATGGGACTGGGCTGTCCACTCACCATTTCGGCGCTGACACGAGCTTGGTGGAGCCTTGCTATTACCAGGTCGCATAGTGGCTAATCCATTATAGACAACGGCACAATAGGAAGGCTCCGCCAAGTTCGCGTCAGTGTTGAAATGGTGAGTGGAGAGTCTGGCCCTGTGGGGCTGGACCCGTGTCTGTTTCTTTCTGCAATCCCAGTAAGTGGTGTTATAAAAGGCACAGCTGTACAACCATTAAAACTTAGATGAGGAGTTAATTGTTAGGTAGCAGATGTTAAATGCCTGCAATTTGAAATTCATCATGCAGGTGAAAACCTTGGATAGGAAATCAGGAAAATATGTTGTTCACCGGCAGGAATAGGGTGACTCGAAGGTGACTATATCTCCAGATTAGAGATGGGGGTATTCGTATACGAATATCCCCCCACGGGTGGAAATAATGAGGTCCGGCCCCATGGGGCTGGGCTGTCCACTCACCATTTCGCCGCTGACACGAGCTTGGCGGAGCCTTCCTATTACCAGGTCGCATAGTAGCTAATCCATTGTAGACAATGGCATGATAGGAAGGCTCCGCCGAGTTAGCGTCAGTGTTGAAATGGTGAGTGCACAGTTTGGCCCTGTGGGGCCAGACCCGCGTTATTTCCACCTGTGGGGGGATATTCATATACGAATACTTACGTCTTTACTCCAGATACAGCAGAACAACATGATCTTGTCATATGCCAGATAACCGTCCAGAAATTCAAAACATTGACTTTTTAAGTGATTTTGGTGATCACATTATAAGAACAGAAGGTGGTACAAAACACATGTTGAACCCATTAAAATTTACAGGGTGAACATGCTATGCAAAGAACAATGCTGTAGGTATAACAAAAGATTCAAATAAGACCCGTTGGGGACTTAGTGTAGTGAACTCAGCTTGTCAGAAAAGAAAAATAATATATTGTGTAGGAGACATTGACTATGGATGACTTCCAGCAGTTCCGGTCTCTTATTATACCGGATATTGTCATCTAGTTAGCTGGTTTCAGTTCTTATTTTATTGGTTTTTATTTATGTTACTTAAGTTGTCAGTATTTGTTTGTATCTCAGTATTTATTTGTTCATATTTGCAGGGCCATCTAGATGCCTTGACTCATGTACATAACTCTTCCCTGCCTACCCCTCTTTAACTGTGTTTCACCTTGGTGACAATATAACCAAGGTAATTTGAGCACAGGTTGAACTCAGGGGTATGTCCTGTACCAAAAACTGCTCCCTTAAACAAAGGGAAATGTTTTAATCATTATGTCTGTAACATTATCTTACAATAAGTCAACTGTCTGCTTTGTGGTTCCATGTGATAGAGAATATTCTGCTACATAGCAGGTGCAGTGATCTAGGTTTAAGACATTGTGAAACATGTGCTCTATGTGAAACCTTTTCATGATAGAATTAAAACCTGCTGAGTTTCAGCAATATTGCTTCATGTGGGTTTCTGATTCATGCTTGTATAAATAATGAACACTAGAAGCAGTGCGTGAACAGTTTATAGATTTTCAGATGGGTAATCTTGCAAGCACTTCTTTGTCTCCTGCATGCTGTTTTCAATATGTTGCATCTTTTAGAGAAAACATGTTTTAAATTTTGCAAAAGATATTTAAAACCAGGGGCATAAGATTGTCCTCCTCCTACTGGTTGACTGATCTTGAGTAAATAATTTAAACCAGATTTTCAGCATACCTTAAAACTGCTGCAGGAGGCCTATCACTGTGCTAAGTTACTGAAGCTCTACCTTGTTCATTCATTTGAATGACAATGTCACAAACTTACAGCTCTCCTCATTACTAGCACTAGTAATGGCAACCCATAATGGGCAGTATCCTGTTCAGTATTTATGTGCTAACTGTAGAGATTGCTATGCTGATCTGATCAGGTGCCAGATACATGTGGATTTCCGTACGTGTGTAAATATTGAGCATGATATTAGTCCATATAAAGTCCTAGAGTCCTCCGGGTAGTTTGCAGTAATTTTTTTAAAAATCAAGTACAGATATAATATCAACGTACAACAGTATACACAGCACCTCAAAATCAAGCACAGGCACAAGATTAACTACATGGGAAGACTGACTTCTAACTGGGGTACCATTAAAGAAAAGAAAATTGTCCCTGTAAGTTGTTTCATTTCATTCAAGAGGCAGGATTGAAACAGGGCTTCTGGAAGAGATCCTAAAATTTGGGTAGATAGATATAGAAGAAGGTAACTTTTTATATAATCTTGTCTCACTGTGCTATTTAATCTCATACACCATTTTATTTACAAGATATTCAAGCCTCCTCCCTCTCCTGAAGCTCTGGCAGTCAAAGTGCCTGAATATCTTTATCTTATTTCTGTGTTTGGAAACTGAAAAAATGACTAGAAATTACAATAGAACATACATTGTGCTTTAAATTAGGAATCTCTCTCTTTTTTAGAAATTAAATATATATAGAAGGTGCATTTTCCATTGGGAGGAGTTCAAGTAATTTAGGATATCACAGAGAATACCAGCCACTTGAATTGCAACTGGAAGATTACAAAGTAGAAAGTGCAGACTCCAGAGGCCTGAATAATTCACCCCTGTTCAGTTTTACAAACCCTGTTTGTCATGTCCATAAATCTGTGGAACATTTTAAAACAGAGTATTTTTTTTTAATTACTCATGAGCCACCATAAATATTTCTATCCTACATTTCTCCCCCCTGTTTGTCATGTCCATAAATCTGTGGACTCCACCCATGCTGCAGTAACGTGGGTATGGAGGGCGACAGAGTAAAATTGGTTCCTGTTTGGCTTTTATTGTGTATCCTACATTTCTCCCAAAAAGGACCCAAGGTAGCTTACATCATTAAAACAGTATTTAAAAACTTAAAAACAGTCAGTATGCAAATATCAAAACAGAATTCAACAAGTATTATATCAAAATGGTAACTGGGATGGTCCGTTGTTAAAGCTGTTCTTTAAATCTGGTGCACAGATGTATTTCAAGTGTCAGCTTATTATGTTAATTGTGTCACAGAGCCTCGTTCTTATGGGTTAGATATAGTTAGCCTATGACTCCACCCATGCTGCAGTAACGTAGGTATGGAGGGCGACAGAGTAAAACTGGTTCGTGTTTGGCTTTTATTGTGCATGCAACTCCATTCCCACAGGAATTCTCCATTCCTCTCTAAAACTTGTTTTGGCATGTGTTAGCCCTCATGCAGGACAATGAGGTGTTCCATTTCTCAGGAATTGTGTTCTGTTTTCAGAATCCACACAGAACTACATTTACAGTGCTGGCATTCTATGCTGAAGGGCTGTAAACAATGTCACAGAGTTATAGCCCTCAGATGTGTACAGGTTTATTTTTCTCAGGAATTGTGTTCTGTTTTCAGAATCCACACAGAACTACATTTACAGTGCTGGCATTCTATGCTGAAGGGCTGTAAACAATGTCACAGAGTTATAGCCCTCAGATGTGTACAGGTTTATTTGACAGATGAAAGTGTTTCCGATAAAACTATTGGATTCTCACAAAAGTATTGGGGCCAAAGGAAAAAAAGTTCAGTGCCCTTGTGACAACCCTGAAGACTCCATTCCCACAGGAATTCTCCATTCCTCTCTAAAACTTGTTTTGGCATGTAGGGCAATGAGGTGTTCCATTTCTCAGGAATTGTGTTCTGTTTTCAGAATCCACACAGAACTACATTTACAGTGCTGGCATACTATGCTGTGTTGCCTGAAGGGCTGTAAACAATGTCACAGAGTTATAGCCCTCAGATGTGTACAGGTTTATTTGACAGATGAAAGTGTTTCCGATAAAACTGTGGGATTTTCACAAAAGTATTGGGGCAAAAGAAGTGCCCTTGTGACAACCATGAACCTGAGAAACAGAAGTGACATACAGCTCTTGTTGTCTGCAGGTTGGCCTTTTTGGTGGAGACATTGCAGTTCTCAAGAAAAACATGGACCTGGATCCAGCTTGTCATCCTCGTTGGGGAATACCCATTGAGTCAATGAGATTTACATAAATCTTATCTCACCATTTAGCACTCCATTAAAAATGTCTGCTCTAGCTAGACTGTCAGCTGGATTCATGCCAATAAATGTACAGTAAATTCTAACCACAGCCTTAAGCCTGCTGCTCACCCTTAATGCCTTGCAGCAAGAAAGCACAATACATCGCACTCTGTGCACTTTTTAAAAACACCCTGATGGATGTGTGTTAAAATAAACATGAGAAGGAAGAAGATGAGAGGGAAAGCATAGCTTTACTGCTAATATTTTTGATGTATCTTTATGACAAGGGATTTAACAAATTGAAAAAAAATAATCTGATCATAAAAGAGAGGGGAAATGGTTGATGTTGATGCAGGGGGGGGAACAAGAGGCACCTGTTGCTGCAAGCAGAAAAATCTATTGTTGATGCACTGCTAGACATGAGAGATTACATTTAGAAGGAAGTGTGGTCAATGGTTGATCATTTTTAATGCTTTCCCTTGGGAGCTGCTAGAGTGGCTTTCGAGTGCTTAAGGATGAGGTCCTGCTATCCAAACTCCAGAGAGACATTGGCTTATAAGCTTTATAATTGCTAAGCTTGATTGTTGATATGTTTTCATTTGGTATATCTTTATATCTCTTACTATATTCTTTCTATTCTAAACAATAGATTTACCCTGAACTGCAAATTACCAATGTCGTTGAAGCCAATCAACCTGTAACAATTCAGAACTGGTGCAAGCGGGGATGGAAGCAATGCAAGAGTCACCCTCACATTGTAGTTCCATATAGATGCTTAGGTAAGTATAGTCAGATATGCTGTGACTATGTGATCTTCATTGCATGCGGTTGCTCCTCCCACCACCATCTTCCACTTAATCATTTTTAAACTGAAGGTACTTGTTTTTGTCCAACAGCATAAGGTGACTTTCCCCAGTTTTAATTATGACATATAAGGAAAAGGGTATCATCTTGTTGGTATGTGTTGGTAGTAACTACAGGCATAAGATCAAGACTTAATATGTTCTTCTGTAGCAGATTTGTATGGCAAGGAATGTATATAGTATTTATAGTATTGACACTAGTTAATGTAGAGATGCACAGCACTCAGTTTAAACACTCCATCCATAGAAGCCATAGGTATGGAACTCTGAAGTGGTAAAAAAGGTTTTATTTTGCTAGCAGGTCAGTATAGTAGTTTGAGTGGTTTGAAAACCTGGAATCGTTGGAGATCATGCATTTTAGAATTCTGTAGAACAACTGAGGAGCAGCAGCGTTATAATGTATCAAAGGAAGTTGTCTGAAAATGCCTCTTTCGTCCCCATAATTGTTTTGGTTTTTGCTTTGCCCCAAGTACAGTAAGAAACATCAGAATGTATACTTAGTTAATCTGAGGTCCTTGGTGATTTTCCCAAGCCTTAGGAGGTCTGTGAAGTTAATTGGGAAAGCTTTCTCAGAATGTGTGTGTATCCGATGTACGTGTGCTTGGTTTCCTGTTCAGAACTAGCAAACACAGAGAAGCTAAGTAGTTTGGCCAACTTGAGTCAATGGAGTCTACCTCTCTGGCTCCTTCAGCTGTAGCAGTGCTCTTGTCCTCATATTGATTCATTGTGCTTGTACTGTGAAATAGTATTCATTGAGCAGCATGCAGCTCTCACACAGAACAACAGTTCAGTTACAGAGCTGTGACTGACCTCAATGTAATCTGCTGGGCACCCTGTTATAGCAGAATGGTCTAATGTAGCAAGCAAGGATGAGCTCAGCTTGTACCCTCTTGCCAGTTTGGACCTCAAACATTTTCTACTCCAGTTTATCCTGGCATGGCTCTCTCTGCTTTCATGGAGTTTGGGAAAGTTATGTCTTTAAACTACAGCTCCCATAATTCTCCAACCAATATGGTTGCTGAATACGTGTTGGCAGAGGGGGGGGTCTCAGATGTAATTTAATAAATAACTTTTCCAGATTAGTTCTCACATGCTAATAAGCCTAAGATCCAAGATTGTAGCATTACACTGTACATTTTATTAATGAGGCTGCGGAACAATCCCAGTTGTTTCTATTAATTGGAGGTCTGCAATTCTGACTTTGCAAATGTTTCGTGCAGCAGGTGTGATGTTAAATTAACACTTTGATCATAGAACAGTATGCTTGAGAGTAAACCTTATTGATTATATTTGGATTTGTTCCAAAGCAAGTGTGTTTGGGATTGGGGAGGGGTAGATAGGGTTATAAAACAATCATTGTGTTTTTAAATATTTTGTTTAAAAATAGGTCTAAATAAATAAAGCAAAAGGAGCACATAAACATTTGTCCCTAACATTAGCATTGTATAGGGACTGCATACTTCTCTATATTTTATTCCAATGGGTATCTTCATAGCTGTGATACAGTGGATGATGTCACTGCTCCCCAGGGATGGAGGTAGGAAACTCAGTTTCTAATTCTTCCTGTACTACAGGGCCCAATGTGTGGATAGTCTGATCTACTGCACAAGTTGTTGTTAAATAAAATATGCCATTTTAAATGCAATGCAGTTATGAGCAAGACCAATAGTTGACAGAAATCTCTTGTCACTGTTAGTTCAGCTCTTGCTTTGTTTTGTGTTTCAGTTTAGAGAAAATGGAACCTGGGATCTGGTGGTGGATGCAAATTCGTACCTAGAGGGTTCCGTTGTTTAATAGGTAGCTAAAGTGGATGAGAAGATACTCAGGTGTCCCCACTGTGGACTTTTTAATTATGTTCACCTTCTTCAGAGAATCAGTGATAATAAAGAAAAAATACCAGGCAATTCCTCAGTGATCCTTCATTTATTGCCTTGGTTTGCTCATCAGTTCCCAGTTGTATCAATCACCTGTGATCTCTTGGCTAAAGAAAGAAAAGTAAATGCTGATCTTCTCTTCCAGTGTTACAGGTTTTCTTGTTCCAGTGCTTTCTTTAATTACCAGCATTTGATTGTGTTCTGTGGAGGACCTTGGTGTGTTCTCTCTAAGTCTATTTGGGGATGCAGGTGGATCCTGTGACCTATTAAAAAATAAACCAGCATTTCTCAAAGCTTCCAGTAGTTGCATTTTACTTTTTTAATTTCTTGCCAGAAAAAGAGGGGATTGCATGCTGACTCAAGGCAGGACTGTGCCTATCACTAGCCTGCTTGCTCATAAAGCAAGACCCTGAATTCCTGATTGAAGTGCACATGCAGAAGCGAGGAATTTTTTTAAAGAAGTTGATCATTTCCACTGAATGCTTCCATGCCTGGTTTAAAAAGTCAGGTGTATTCATTGAGTACACCATATTCCTCTTTTATAGGTACTACTTTCATGCTGTGATTGTAGTAGCCATATAGAATGGTGAAGTGATCATTGTACTATCCCTTCATCAAGGAAAATGAATCTTATACTTGTATTTGATTATTTATTTATGGAATTGTTTATTTGATTTTTGCTCAGGAAAAATAAATAAGTAGCCATATTTATTCATTACTTTTTAAGAAATATATTTTTTAAAACTTCATATTTTTTTTGCTCAAATGTAACTTGAGTTCAGTGCATTAAGTTTATCCAGTTAGGTGCTAGTCTTCCCATGGGGCTAAGAATTATTCTTTTGACTGGCAGAAATATGACAACTCTTATGCTAAGAGTATATTCATGATCCATTTTTGTGCTGGCCTTTAGAATTGCCCCTCTGGGATTTTGCTGTAGCAAACCCCTTCAACACCCGACTGGTTCTTTAGCTTCTTTCTTGTGTAGTGGCTTATCCTGTGTGACAGGCAGGTTGAGTGCAGCAAATGCTCCAGCAGTATTGAGTTTATTAGATTACAGGACTTGCTGTGAGCTAATGTGACTAAAGCATGCAAAGTAGAATAATTTAAATAATACTCAATCAAAACCTGTGCTCTGTGAAACCCTTAAACTAATTCTGTGATTATGTAAATTTCTCAGAGAGGCAATAAGAGATCCTGATTTATATTAATTAAGGGTAGTACCCAGCTGTCCATTGTTTTAGATCTGAAATGTAAATCTAAAATAGTTGAAGGTTCAATCAGATTATCAAATTTATTGTGAAGTCATTGACTTTTATGCACTGTTTTCCTTAATTATCCCAATACCTTTTGCATGACTGACTGCATTTTCAGAGTTAGTACAAGAATGGTATTCAGTTCAGGAGGGCTTTGTGGACAGGCGGTTTTGCAAGAGTAGTGCAACTTCTCTTGTGCTCAGTGCAATCCAGGATACCAGCATCAATTGAGATTTTCACCTTGGTAACAAATGTGAAAATTAGGTAATTGTTCTTCAATTGGAGAATGATTTTGTCTATTAAAGATTTTCTGCTACACCAGGATGGTTTGTTTATTATTTCTAATAACCCAACTGCAGTCCTACATGTGTTTATGCAGTAGTAAATTCCATAGGCTTCAATAAGAGTAAGACACAGGTAAATGGCTGTGTACTTATTGGAGTAAGTGCTATGAAGTTTATTAGGTATTTCTAGTGAGAAGACATGGACAGAGTTGTACCATAAATCTTCTTCTGATCTGTCTCTAAATGTAGACATCTATTCATTGTATTAGTGAGACTGTAAATTTTCAGTGACAAAATAGGTAACCATGGTATCTTTTTCCCCCATTGCTTTGCAATTAATAACTTAGGGTTGCTTGAAATATGTAATTTTATTTCTTTCTCTTCCCTTACACTTTTATACAAGAGACAATGTTGTCAAAATTGCTTGTCTTGTATAATGTCAATTACTTTTATATGATGAATGCATCTTTCATTTGATTCAGAGGCAGAACTATTTTTGTACTGGATGCTCTGATAAAGGTTACTCCGTTCAACTCACCTTTCAAGGCTCAGGTTTCAGAATTTTTCATTCTGACAAAGTGTGGAACATAATTTAATACAAATCCAAATAGTATTGTGTTTGTTACTTATGTACAAAGTTTCTATCCCAGCCTTCTGTTAAAAAAAATTAAAAAGAAGTCATCATCAAGTTTACAATATGCTATCAGAACAGTTAACAGTTGTACTGCCATCATAGTTGATGCATTTCAAATATTAGTAAAATCTTGTTCAGGTGGTTCTTTAAAAAGTGATAACTACCTTATAGTTCCTGGGCATGGTATTATTTCATTGACATTCCGTGCAGGTACAGTGGTGCCTTACTTAACGATTGCCTCGCTTGAGGAAATTGCTTGACGATTAGTTTTTTGCAATCGCAAAGCAATGTTTTAAATGGGCTTTTTTCGCTTCCTGACGATCGGTTCCCTGGTTCGGGAACCGATTTTCGTATTACGATGATCTAAAAACAGCTGATCGTCGGGTTTCAAAATGGCCACCGGGTGTACAAAAGGGCCCCCCGCTGTTTTCTAGGATGGATTCCTCGCTTTACAAGAAGCGAAAATGACCGCCCCTATGGAGGATCTTCGCTGGACGGTGAGTTTTCAGCCCATTGGAACACATTGAAGGGTTTTCAGTCTGTTTCAATGGGTTGTTTTATTTCGCTTAACGAGGATTTTGTTCTATAGCGATTTCGCTGGAACGGATTATCCTCATTAAGTGAGGCACCACTGTATTTTGAGGTTTTCATTCCACCTGAATGATTCTGCTGGCCTAATTCCTATAATCCATGAGTGTTCCTCTCCTTCTCTGGATCTGGTCCTTCAATAGATGCCCTCTTTCTGCCATCTTTTCCTCTGATGGACTGGCCATCAGTTTCCTCCTACAGTACTTCTCTTGACCTTCTATTTTCGAGAAGCTCATAATTTGTGAAATTGTGAGTATCTGGTGTGTTATAGGTCTTCTACTAA